AAAAAAAAAAAACAATGTGGCAAAAAATTTTATATGAAAAAGGATATATATAATTTATATAGAGATATACACACACTATTTATGAAACTTCCATATTTCGGAAATTTGGTATTAAGCTGCAATAATCAGATCTAGGCGCAAAAAAAATAGAATTTAAAAGTGCTTCTAGAGGATGTCTTCTAGTGGTCGTGCCAGGCGCCATTCTCTGCCTCAGAATGTTGGAGCAGCACATGTTAGCTTTCAACAGTTGATGTATAGATAATGTGAAGTTCTTCTGCCAACTGAAAAAATTTAAAAAACTGACATTAAGTGGAAGTTATAGACCTTGTGCACTCAGCTGCTATTATGCCCCGCAGTTAGCGTTTTAATCGAAGAAGTCTGCATCTTGCAGTTCTTTTCTAATCTGTTTTACAAGATACAAACAAAAGAGGATACGTCCTTTTGAGACTTTTATGACAGTCACTTGGTTGCAAAACCATACTTGTGATTTTGTATCAAAAAATCTAAGCTTTTTACAGTCATAGTTAAGCTGCGATAAATGACTTAAAAATTTCCTTACAAAGTTTATAGACTTTGCTTGGTTAGTGTTTTTGCGCTTTCGAATTACTCGTATTTTTTTGAGGCTTTTTAAGCTTCATTTTTTGTTTGTAAAATAACGGATAGAAAGCGGATTTTTGTTTCATAGCTATCATTACCTTTTTATTCAGGTAGTTTTTTTTACTTTGCAGATATTTAAGTGAAGGTTTATGTTATGGTTCCAACCGTTGCAGTTTTGGTTCTCTGCGTTTCTGTTTTTTTACATACTGAGGGAAAATTTCTTCGTGATCCAGTAGCTTATTATCGACCAAGCGAGAAGGTATGACCTCGCTTATCTCCTTATATTTCACGTAGGTTACTATTGAGAAAGTCAAAACAAGTTAATTTCTAATTCTTATAACTACAGGACAGCAGGAATTGTATGTCAAAAGATTCACTCTTTCGCAGCGGCTACATTTTTCGCAATGAAGTTTAACAGCTTTTCGCGAGTTGAAAATATAACTTACATTTATCAGTTATGAAAAGCAAACTGAAAGAAATTATTTGTTGCTTGTGACTAGCTTTAAAAAAGGACAACTTTCATTTGCAAAATTTGAATGGTTTTGAAGGGCGGAATCAGAAGCGAGCAATACTCATGGACGGAGGAGTGGTATGAAAATATGCCCATCGATCATTTTGCTTTTGCTGACAATCGTACTTTTAAGCTCAGGTACAACTTGTAACTTGTATGGTCTTTATAAATGAGCATTTGTTTTGGTGCTGAAGTATAGGGGCCTTAAAGTTATATAAAATAGAAATGGGTTTTAAAGTTAGCGACTGATCTTTCCTAATTTGCGAACTTCATTTCTGCTTTTATTGTTAGCGTTTTAGGTATTTGATTAATCTGGATTTTTTCACCGAGCACGGGCCAATATTATTTTACACTGGAAATGAAGGGAACATTGAAGGATTTGCAGCAAATACGGTGATTAAACCTTTTTACAATCTTCAAAGGCATTAAATCGGGACAAAAAATAGTTTATCTACTGTGTTTTGTTTTGTAATCTTTTAGGGTTTTATGTGGGATCTGGCTCCTGAGCTTTCTGCAGCTGTTGTTTTTGCTGAACATAGGTATTACGGTAAAACTCAACCATTTGGAAACAAAAGTTATTCTAGTGCTAGCAATCTGGGTTACCTTTCTTCTGAACAGGCGTTGGCAGATTTTGCTCTTCTTATCAAATTTTTGAAACAAGAAGTAATACTTAAAGTTACTTTAGTAAATTTATGACGATGAAAGCGTTTTTTTTCTGTCGTTTAAGTGAATATTTCTTATTTTTTTTTAATCTTTATAATTGTTTTTGCAACCTCCATTTTGTTATCTTATAACTGCAGTCTGCTAGATGAATCTTGTTTACCGCTTTTACTGTTGATAGAGATTGGTCGGGGCTTCGAAATCAGCTGTCATAGCGTTTGGTGGCTCTTATGGTGGTATGTTAGCCGCATGGTTACGGATTAAATACCCTCACGTGGTTGATGGGTAAGTAGTTTTGGGGGTCACGTGGATCATTAGTTTGGTATTAAAACTTATATCTCCTGCGGTTTTTCAGGTCATTAGCAGCTAGTGCGCCTGTTTTTTGGTTCTTAAACACTTCTGTGCCAGAGGACATATACGACCATATAGTTTCTAGATCTTTCCAAGTATTCGGTTGCGTTCCGAGCCATATAATCCACTCATGGAGTGCACTGAGGAACTTAGCAAAAGATGGTATTGTTAGAGATGCTAATTTGTATTTCTTGTTACTAGGCAAAGTTACTTTCAGAAAGTGGCAGAAAGTATATCAATAATTTGTTCCACTTGGACCCAAAGTCTCTGCTTAATGATGAAAATGACGTCAATTTCTTGACCAACTTTATAAGAGAAGCTTTTGAGTCGATGGCTATGGTCAATTACCCATATCCGACCGAATTCCTAGCTCCTCTTCCGGGATGGCCAGTTAAGGTTCGCATGAGTGTCAAACTGTTCAGTTTTTTATTGCTTTGTATCGCTTAAGGTCGCTTGCCAGTTTTTTAATTCTTCCGAACAACGGTCGGATAAGCAGCTGTCCGAAGATTTATATGGATTTATCAATTTGTATTACAATTACACCGGGACCAAAGCGACTTTGTGTGCCAATCCGAGAAATTGCGAAGATTCTGCTTATTCTGCTTTAGGAGATCCACTTGGTTGGCCTTGGCAGGTTTTTTTCACGACTCTTTGAAAATTTATTTGCTAAGTGGCGTTGAATATAAATTATAGAAATAGGTAAAGAAACCAAAGAGTTATAATGTTAAATCCTCTCTGCACTGTTACCGGTGACATCTGTGGTGATGCTGCATACTTTAGACGTGTACAGAGATGGTTATGCAAATGTGTGCAAGTGGACCACCAAATGACTTCTTCTGGAAGGATTGTCCGTTCACCACTAAAGGTATTTAATGATGCTCTCTTCACTTGATTTACAGTTAAAGTGCACTTCTTGTGTATTCCTTTCTTGGTTATTTTTTGATGACTTTTCTAATTTTCTTTGTTGATTTAATAAATTTTACAAATTGTATGGGACAAGCTTTCTTCAAATTTTACGATCTTTTGATATGTCGCTTGTCTTCAGTTTTCAAATTTTTCTCAGATATTTTCTGTATTAATCTTTGGCCTCAGGTCTTCCATTTTCATAAAAGTTTATCTTCTTGTTTTTTTTTTTTTAGTTAGTGTGCTGTGGTTAAGAAACTGGTTTCTTAGCAAGTTAGATTGGTCACTTGTTTTTGGTAGTCACTCACCAGAGTGCTTTTAGCAGTAGTTTGTCTTGGTCTTAAAGGCTTACCGTGCTACTTCTTAGTTTTCTAAATCTATTAATTTTATGAGGAAAAGTATGATTGAGCGAATAACAAAATTGCTGTAGCAGTTTTCTAGCCTCAAAGTATATATGAGCTTATTGGTGAGCTCCTAGTTCATCAGGAGAAAAAAATCAAAGGCTTAAAGGAAATATTTTTGTAGGTGTTTTCTTATTCACAGAATTTTTTAATGATAAACTTTCGAACACAGTTTGTCCAGCTGAAAATACGGCTCTTACTATGCGAAAAAGTGTTGCTGTATTCTCATCTATTGTTCTTAATAATACTTTGAAAGCCTGTTTTCCTGATGGACTGAGCTAAAAAATTTTCAAGACTAAGTTCGAGAAGTATATTTCTTCAAAATTGCTTTTGAATAATAATCTTGATCGGTAATAACGGATTTTTTGCTTGTTATTATTATAACAAATTTTTACTGGATGAGATAACGTGGCTTTGTAGTTGGAATAGTTTTTGTGATTCAAACTGTCACGACTTTTTTTCCCTTAAAGGTGCTATCGAAACTTGTAACGAGATATTTGGTAAAATTGGATACTCTAGTTCCTTACATCGACCAGATTGGGTAATTTTGAATTACGGTAACAGATATCCTACAGCTTCCAATATAGTGTTCAGGTTAATTTTTCTGAGTATTTCTGTTTCGCTTAGCTTCTGATTAATCCTCCTATTTTAAGTCCACAGCTTGGAAAAAGATGAAGGCCATACTTCTTTTTTACAAGCCATAGTCGTCCAGAAAAGGAAATCAAAGAAATGAAGTAGTTTATTGAAAGGGAGAAAAAAGTCGTTTTAAATCCTACGGTTTTATATGAAAGGTTTTTTAAAACCTATCTCTCTGAATTTCTAGCATTATTATTCTTCCAGCTCAAGTGTACTTTCAAAAACATGGAATTTTAGCAATGGTTTCTTGGACCCATGGTCTGGAGGAGGCTGGTCTTTGAAACCAAAAATTACTGGATCAGTTGTCAGCATCATTATCAAAGTTAGTTTTTATTGATGGTTTGAGAATGTAATTGTAATTTTTTCGATTATCTGCACGTAATAGTCAGTAATAAAGCATCTCACACGTGATTGAATTTTACAGGACGGTGCTCATCATTATGACCTGCGAGGTTCTCATCCAGAAGATACCAACGCAGTTAGAGAAGCGCGTAGTTTAGAGAAGGTATACATTAAGAAGTGGATAAAACAAACTCGCTCAAAATTTAGGAAGCTTCGGAAATTGAGAATCACTCGAAAGTATTTGTAATCTTTGCATTTTCTTGTTAGGGAATCTAATTGAGAAATTTAGCTTTAACAATTATTGCGATTTTTATGAACACGCTTCTTTTACTTCCTCTGGTTGTTTGTCCAGAGATAGTATTGTTTGCTTCAATGAATCAAAGTATCATTAAAATTTTGTGTTTTTTTTTTCTGTAATTACTTACGTTGAGTGTTTTTCATTTTTTTGAGAAAACGGATGAAAATTCCTAATTTAGAAGACTTTTGCTGCTCTTCTTTTAAATATATTTATAAAATTTCACAGTTTTTGCACTAACGCATCTAATTTGGTTTTTTAATTTAAGGTGCTTTGTCTTCTGATGTTGTTACAGGTTGACTAATAAACGATTAGAAACAAACAAAGTTGGAAGCTTGTAGAGCACTCTGATCTGTTTTTAAGTAAAGCGCCTGCATTATGAAATGAAAAAGAAATCAAAATTTATTCATTTTTTTTGGTGACATTGTACAGTTTGTTCAATAGAGACATTCATATAAAGGAATTTGTCTGAAAAGGTGTTGTTGCTTGTAGAAGTAAGTGAAAGAAATTGTAACGCTGTTTTTATACAAAAGAACGAGTAAGGATCACGTCATATAAATGCTAAAATTAGCACAGCTTTTTTCAGTTCAGCAGACCTGTTTAAGCAGCAGAAGAAAGACAGCAAGCTTGGAACAGAAGTAAAACTTGTGTTCAGTGGGTGTCCTCTTCTTATCCATATATACTGGTTG